AATGTCGGGGGTTTAAGTGGAGAGAAAATGTTTTGAGAATGATGTACAAATGCGCTTTACACAATCGATGTGTGTATGGATTGCGATAACAGTTGATTGAGCCCCTAATAAAATGTTGGAAAAAAAAAGTTGTACGAGCCTCCAATAAAATTATTTTTTTTAAAATGAAAAGAAATATATCACCATTTGATTAGCTGTGCAATGCTGTAAGGACCTCTCCCAACCTTGACTCCTGTGACTCAATTTTAGAATTTAAAAAATCCTGTCCAAATCTCTTTCATCCCTGAAGTATGTAACCTCCTTTTACCCCACAGTTGATTTTGCCCCTTCACAGTGTGTTTTCATCCAATGTCAATATCCTCGTTCTCAGAAAGTGCCCTTTGTTCCTTACCCCATTCTGAATCTTCTTCAGGACCCCCAACATGGTTAAAAAAGTGCCAAGGGGGAGGGGGGAACGGGGAGGGAGGGGGGAAAATGAGCTGACACCAAGGGGTCAAGTGGAAAGCGGGTGTTGTGAGAATGATGAAGTCAACGTATGTACTAATGTGCTGGACACATATGATGTATGTACGGATTGTGATGAGTTGTATGAGCCCCTAATAAAATGATTATTTAATAAAATTTTTTTTTAAAGTGCCAGGCAGGCTATGTTAGAAAATTTCCACTCAGGGCCTTTGTTGAAAACTAAGGTTAGCACACTACCTAGCCCAGGCCCTCTGGAGCCAGTCTCCAAGGCAGTCTACCCTGCACTTCCCAAGGAGTCAGACCTTGCCCTGCCTTACGTTAAACCCTTGCAGGAAGCAAGCGCCCCATTAACACCTGCAGAATCAAAAGACCAGGCTTTGTCTCCTCTACACACCCATAGTGAGGATCCTCAAAACGTCCCCTTTTGGTCTTGAAAGAGGTACTGACAAGGACCCATAAGACCAACCCTTTGTAGTTTTGTCCCTTATTCCATTCTCTACTGCCTCCCAAAGTTAGGAAAAGATGAATGCTTATCTTACCCTCTGTAAACCACTCGCTGAAAGGAATGCCGAGGCCTCAACCCCTCCCTGCTTACCCACTGAAAGTGATGTAATACCCTCCCAATCGCCAAACCAGCTTCAGTTTTTGTCCTTATAAACCCAGCCTGAATATGGTTTTGGGCCTCTGGGAACTTCTGAGAGACTTGAATCCTCCCAATGGCCCTAGCTAGAATAAAGACGACCAATTTGGACATAAATGGCATTATAGTGGCTATTAATTTCTCACGACACACAACACAATATATCCAAAATATGTAAGACAAGTCTTGCCACCCTTTTCTCAAAGAGGCATTTCTTCCAAAATAGTTCTCTTTGTTGGCAACGACCCATAGCGACACTGTTCACTACAGAACAACCCTACTGCAGGGTATGCATAGACTACCAAGTATAATGGAGGAGGTACATTCAGCAAAGACAAGATAGACCATTTGTACATGCTCAAATTACATCACTTATGCACATCAAAACACTGCATCAGGAGAGAGACCACAATTTGGGAAACAATTTTTACCAATGACACCTTGGATAAAGGGCTAATTATGAAAATATACAAAACTCTACATCTCAATAAGAAAATAACAAGAGACCCAATCAAGAAATGGGAAGATATAAACAGGGAGTTCACCAAAACTGAAGTGCAGATGAGTAACACATGAAAAAATGCTCACGATCACTAGCCTTCAGGGAGATGCAAACTAAAACACAATGAGATACCGCCTTACTCCCACAATGCAAGCCCAAATCAAAGAAACAGAAAACAAATGGAGAACATGGAGTGATTGGAACACATATATACTGCTGGTGGACTTATAAATACACGCAGCCACTGTGGAAAATTATATGGGGTTACTTAAGTAACCAGAAATTGAAATCCCCTATGACCCAGCAATACCACTATTAGGCATCATGGATTTCATATACAGAGAAATATATATATATACCACCACTAACAAATTAAAAGGTAAAAATTAAATCTAAAAAAAGGATTAGAAACTACAATAGACTTAAAATGAGTCAAAAAGGAGCTCAGCGGGTAAAGGGTCATATTTTAACCTAAGGGCATCTGCAACAATTCACTTTGCAGTATATTCTGCATGCTATAGCAAAGTCATTCACATTCCTGGTCTAGGGTGAGAGTAGTTTTCTTCACTTTTTTAAAGACCAAAAGCATGTTAACATGGATCAGAAGGGACATCAAATGTAAAATCAGATTTGTCTTGATTTCAATGTGTATATACACACAGGATGAGTCGATCAGGCTTTCCCAGGCTCTGCAGTCATGATTTCCTGCAGGATACACACTGTAGTCATACAATGAGGAAGAGACATTTTGTTCAACCCTCCTATCCAATTAGTGCATCACAGCTTATCTTATGGGCTTTGTAAAATATATAAAACATAATTCGATACCAGAGTCACTAAATGCATACGTACTGCCACAATCACTGTACTCATATGGTTTCTCTGTTGTACACTACTGTCAGTTGACTCCTTTCTGGCTAAAGGCCATCCCACCAGAACTACATTCGTTAGGATCCCACTGGGGTTTAATGACGCATGAGAGAAGCCAGAGAAGGCCTATACGAAGTCACTATATTGACAGGACTTTCCTTCTGCAGGAGATCAATGGTATGTGACAAGATTCCCTAGGGAGAGCTTTCCCACCTTAACTGAAATGAAAACGTTTTATTTTTCTGTGTTTCTTTATGTCAAGAAATCTTAGAAACACAGGTAAAACTCATTACAGCTACATGGTAACTATCCCACATATAATCATTGATGAGACATGAGCTCTTTTTTTAATAAAAATTTTATTATGATTTAAAATTTTACAGAGTAAATTGGTTTTCCATTTGACAATTCGTACATTGATTGCAGTCCCCAAGACAGACCAGCACTCTTCCCACTTCCGCCCTCCCTGTTTTTTCCTCATTATTATTCATCCTTTCCCATCCCTTCCTGCTTTCAAGAGTTTATTCATTAGCAAATGCTGTCATTTTGATTTTGTACGCTTGGTAATTCTGTGGAGTGTGTACCTCTCGAATGTTATTCTTCCCCTCCAAGCCCGTTTATTTTTTTGGTTGAAAACAGAGTCAGAGGAGGGAGTACAGTTCCGGGAGTGAAGCTGCTAAGGGCCATCGTTGGGATTGCAAGTATCCATCAGACCAGTAAGCCTAGTCTATGATTTTGGGTTTTGGTCCACTTTGTGCTCCCACTCTACTCAGGTCCTTCTGTAGTGATCCTTTTCTTTTTTTTAAATTTTATTTATTTTTTATTTTTTGATCCTTTTCAAGTAATTAGCAGTGGTAGCTGGGCACCATCTAGGGCTTCCGTTCTCAGGGTTGTGGAGGCTGAGGTTCGCTGTGGTCCATTCATCATCTGGACTAATTGTTCCCAAACGTCTTCTATTTGCTTCATTCTTACTTTATGTTACTTTTGTGCTGTCTCTGGGGGGTAACAAAGAGAATGCAGGTGGGGCAGGCACTCCTGGCATCTGAGTAGGCACTCTACTGCTCGGTATAGCTGTGATTCAGAAACAGGAGCTGCAAGAGCAATGAGGTGCCCGTGTGCCCTGTGAAGGTCTGGATGCCCCTCTCCCTCTCCCCACAATGGTGGGCCATGTCAGTAGAGGGACAGCAACTCACTGCATGGGTAGCCACATTGTAAGTCACAATTGCTTGGTCCCACACACAGCCCAGGCCAAACCCTAGTGCCTCTTCCTGTGTTTTGAAAGCTTCGTTACACTTACACCATTGAAAGGTTTTCTCATTAAGAATGTTCTCATATGGAATGATACTTGACTTCCAGATATGATTTTTCTCCACATTTATGTCATGCAAAGGGCGTCTCTCCTGTGTGAAATAGCTGTTGTGCGGTGAATCATCGTTTCTGGCTGAAAGCTTTACCACACTCAGCGCATACATGGGGTTTCTCTCCAGTATGAGTTTGCCGATGAACAGTGAGTTCATTCATCAAGATAAAGGTGTTCCCACATTAACCACATATAAGGGGTTTCATTCCTGTGTGAAATGTCTGATGTGCTGTAAGGGATCGCTCTCTGCTGAAAGCTTTACCACACTCACCGCATACATAAGGTTTTTCTCCAGTATGAATTTGCTGATGAGCAGTGAGAACATCCTTCCTGATAAAGGCTTTACCACACTCAGCGCATACATGGGGTTTCTCTCCAGTATGAGTTCGCTGATGAGCAGTGAGACCATCCTTCCTGATAAAGGCTTTACCACAGTCACCGCATACATAGGGTTTCTCTCCAGTATGAGTTCGCAGATGAAAAGTGAGGTCCTTCTTCAAGGAAAAGGCTTTTCCACATTCACTACATGCATGGGGCTTATCCCCAGTATGAGTGCGCTGATGAACAGTGAGGTTATTCTTCCTGCTAAAGGCTTTTCCACATTCACCACAGACATGAGGTTTCTCTCCAGTATGAGTTCGCTTATGAACAGTGAGGTCAATCTTCCTGATAAAGGCTTTTCCACATTCACCACATACATAGGGTTTCTTTCCTGTGTGAAATGTCTGATGTGCTGTAAGGGATCCCTTCCAGCTGAAAGCTTTACCACAATCACTGCATACATAAGGTTTCTCTCCAGTATGAGTTCGCTGATGAGTAGTGAGTTCATTCTTTGTGATAAAAGCTTTGCCACATTCACCACATACATGGGGTTTATCCCCAGTATGAGTTCGCTGATGAGCAGTGAGAACAGTCTTCCAGCTAAAGGCTTTCCCACATTCACCACATACATGGGGTTTCATTCCTGTGTGAAATGTCTGATGTGCTATAAGGGATTGTTTACAGCTTAAGGCTTTACCACACTCACCGCATACATAACGTTTCTCTCCAGTATGACTTTGCTGATGAGCAGTGAGTTCATTCTTCCTGATAAAGGCTTTTCCACATTCACCGCATACATGGGGTTTCTCTCCAGTATGAGTTCGCTGATGAACAGTGAGAGCATACTTCCAGGTAAAGGCTTTGCCACATTCACCACATACATGGGGTTTCTTTCCAGTATGAGTTCGCTGATGAACAGTGAGAGCATTCTTCCAGGTAAAGGCTTTTCCACATTCACCACATATATGGGGTTTCTCACCAGTATGAGTTCGCTGATGAATCGTGAGAGCATCCTTCGTGATAAAGGCTTTTCCACATTCACCACATACATAGGGTTTCTCTCCAGTATGAGTTCGCTGATGAGCAGTGAGAACTGTCTTCCTGATAAAGGCTTTTCCACATTCACCACATACATGGGGTTTCTTTCCTGTGTGAAATGTCAGATGTGCGGTAAGGTATCGCTTCCGGCTGAAAGCTTTACCACAATCACCACATACATATGGTTTTTCTCCAGTATGAGTTCGCTGATGAACAGTCAGGTTCTTCTTCCTGGTAAAGGCTTTTCCACATTCATCACATACATGGGGTTTCTCTCCAGTATGAGTTTGCTGATGAACAGTGAGAGTATTCTTCGTGATAAAGGCTTTGCCACATTCACCACATACGTAGGGTTTCTCTCCAGTATGAGTTCGCTGATGAACAGTGAGAGCATTCTTCATGACAAAGGCTTTTCCACATTCATCACATACATGGGGTTTCTCTCCAGTATGAGTTCGCTGATGATCAGTGAGAACAGTCTTCCTGATAAAGGCTTTTCCACATTCACCACATACATGGGGTTTCTCTCCTGTGTGAAATGCCTGATGGTCTGTAAGGCATCGTTTCCGGCTGAAAGCTTTACCACACTCACCGCACACATACGGTTTTTCTCCAGTATGAATTCGCTGATGAACAGTGAGAACTTTCTTCGTGACAAAGGCTTTTCCACATTCACCACATTCATGGGGTTTCTCTCCAGTATGAGTTCGCTGATGAATAGTGAGAGCATGCTTCTTGATAAAGGTTTTTCCACATTCACCACATACCTGGAGTTTCTTTCTTGTGTGAAATGTCTGATGTGCTGTAAGGCATTGCTTCCTGCTGAAAGCTTTACCACACTCACCACGTACATGGGCTTTCTCTCCACTATGAGTTCGTTGATGAGCACTGAGATCACTGTTCCTGTTGAAGGTTTTCCCACATTCACCGCATACACAGGGCATCCCTGCCACATGAGTTTTCTGATGTTCCTGGAGGTATGACTTACTGTGATAAGCTTTGCCACATTCCAAGCATGTATATGGTTTTTGTCCTTTATGAGCTGTTTGACAATGTGCAGTGAGTTTGAATACTCTGTCAAATTTCTGCCCACACTGACTGCATTCATAGGTTTTATCTAGTACATCCTCACAGAGGAACCACTCCTTGATGAAGTTTTCCCCACATTTATTACCTATGCCTGGTTTCTCAAATTTGTCAGATTCCTGATGCTGAATGCATTGTGACTTCATGCTACTGGATTTTTCACACACAGAGAATTTCACTTCAGTACAAAATTGGTCTTCTTCAACATTCAAAACAGTTTTTTCATCTCCATTGACCACAATTGACTTCTTTATTTGGCTACTAATCTTTTGATTTAATACTGGAATGATTAAATCTGGTTTTACTATTTTTTCATGAATGCCAAATATCTCATAATTTTCCTTTAGAGGGAAATTGTTTTTGTGCTGATGAAGAATATTTTCCAATGTATTAAATTTATAGAACTGTTCAGTTTTGTCGATGTTCCTTTCATGTTGCGACTGATCAAGCAAATGATCATTAACTTTTGGGGTCTCTATAAAAGAACAGAACATTGAAACTCTTCATTATTTTCATTTACAATGGAACCCTGAAAACACCCCTTGATTGATACAAGGTAGCCCTTTAGTGACAGCACTCTTATATGAATGCAAATAAAACACTATGCTTAATTTTTCTTGGATATTGGTAGAAATAAAACTGTGTAAACAATACAAATGGTAAAAGCAATGACTGTAGAAACCAGATTGAATGTGAAAACAATAAATGAACATTGATTTGGTAGTTGCTTAAGTAGGACCATGAAAATATACTAAGAATGTAAATACATGCAAGACACTGAGACCCACAGACCACAGGGGTAGTAAGACCTGCGAATTTCAGTTGCTAGAGGTCAGATGTATTCATTCTGTCAATCTTTACTGAAAGACAACTCAGTAGTAGACAACGTTGGGAATGTGAAAATGCAAAATGTCCAATTTTTACAGATATTTATGAAAGGCATGATGGTACACAAACATATTCCTTATACTTATGGAGCCTATATTCTAGCTTAAACCACTCATCTTCCAGTATTGTTCTGTGGTGGCTTGCATGTTGCTGTGATTACGGAAGCAATGCCACCCAGTATTTCAAATGCAAGCAGGATCGCCCATGGTACACAGGGATTAGTGGAATTTCCAGAAATTCAGACTGGGAGGAGAACCTGGTGAACTACTTTTGGAACAAGAGCCCCTCAGGTTTTAACTTCTCTAACTACAGACAACAGTAACGATGTAAATGCAGCAAAGCTTTGGGGACCTTCAGTGGGTGACATGGCATGACTGAAAATGAGAAAAAAAATAGCTGCAAACATCCACTAATAATTGGAAGAGGGAATGTATGAAGTACTATCAAGAAACATTTGGAAACAGTATCAGTAGTTGGAAAATGTAGCCTTAGTGATAGAAATGATAGACAAGATTAATGATAAAAGTTTGAGACTAATGATGAATTCATAGCAAATTCCTTAGTCAACAGAAATGGATACTATGCATATGGACTTTTGTGAATGGAATACACAAAAATCAAATCAACCACATATGTGGAAAGAAATGATGAAGCTCATCAGTCAAAACAAGGTCAAGGCTCAACTGTGGAACAGATCCTAAATTGCTCGAATCCACGTTGAAACTGGAGAAAAGTTAAAAGAAGTCCACAGTAGCCAAAGTACCTTGTTCACTTGAGCTTCAAGACTATCTAAAGAATAAACTTGAGAAATAAAACACTGGTGACTGAAGACTAATGACTGAGACCAGATGAGTTGTGGGATGAGACCGAGGACATCGTACATATGCAAACCAAAAGGCTATCAAAAGACAGAAAATACCATCGGTGGGCAACTGAACACCCTCTTACTGAGGGGTTGTGGGGAGGAAATGAGCCAATCAGGGAGCAGGGTAGCAATGATGAAACATATAACTCTCCTCTAGTTCTTTAATGCTTCCTCCCCCCCACTATCATGATCCCAATTCTACCTTACAAATCTGGCTGGACCGGAGGATGTACACTGTACGGAAAGCAACTGGAAACACAGGGAATCCAGTATACATGACTCCTTCAGGACTAGTGGTGAGAGGGGCGATGCTTGGAGGGTGAAGGGAATGTGGGGTAGAAAAGGGGAACCAATTACAAGAATCTAAGTATTGCGTCCTCCCTGGGGGATGGACAGCAGAGAAGAGGGTGGAGAGAAACACCAGACAGGGTAACTTATGACAAAACTGTAATAATTTATGAACTATGAAGGGTTCATGAAGGAGGGGGGAGTGGGGAGAGAGGGGGAAAATGAGCAACTGATATTAGGGGCTAGAGTGGGAGGCAAATGTTTTGAGAATGATGAGGGCAACAAATGTTCATATGTGCTTGACACAATGGATGTATGTATGGATTGCGATGAGAATTGTACGAGCCCCCAATAAAATTTTTTTTTAAAAAAAGACAGAAAATAAAAGAGAGAGCAATATTGAATATGCCAGGCATTATTTGAGTAACAACCAAGAAAATCAGTGTTGGAAAATACAGCCAAAAAGTTCTATAGAAGAAGCAAAGGTCATCTTTTCCATTATGGACATGTTAGAAAGAGGCAGCTTTAAGGATGGCATACTGCAGAGTTAGCACTATGTAAGTTCAATGAAAGACCCATGAGTGTAAGATGTTAAAAATGTCCTTTCCACATACAAAATTATCAGAGGAGCACACGACCTTAAAGAAAATCCTAGAAGTGGAAAAAAATTGAAGGTACAGTGCTAAGACATCCCAAGGTGATAACCATTTTCTTTCTGGGAAGATAATCTTGGACACTGAAAAAAGGAGAAGTCATACACATGCTTCACCAAAAGAAGTAAAATATAGAGAAATATGTTTGTTAAGTAATTCCAACGGAGATAGAAGTTGGACCATCTCTATTAGAAAACAGAAAGAACGTGTATCACTAGAATGCAGAAAACTTTAATGGGTTAGGAGAACAAATGAGAAAACGGAAACCAAAACTTAGAGACGCTCCAAGGGGGAAGCTAAGGAAACACAAAGGAGTACTTTTATGGTGGTAGCTCACGATCCAAGATGGTGTTGCATACTAGAGAGACCTGCGAGGTGGGCTTTTATAGCAAGGTATAAGGGCATAAAAGAGGGAAAGGTTTGAGAATCTTAAAGAAAGAAAATCATGGAAACAAATGTGCAAGAGTGTAAATCAAATAAATGGAAATCTAATCTCAGAAGAGTTAAGAGTCTTTCTCAAACTTTCTAGGAAAAGTAAGGTTTTTCTCACATTCAGAGAAGCACACACTTTTATGTACTGTCTGACACCGACCGTGGATGTGAGACCTGCTCCCAGTTGCGTCAACACCCCCAGCCATTTCCCCCCCTTAAGGTTTTTTGCTCACGCACCTGAAAACCTCCACTATGGCTTTTTGTCTAATATAGACCACAGTTCTTCTCCTGGTTCTACTTGGGAGAAAGCTTCTGGGGTGACAACTAGATAGCCAGTTGATGAGACATTACAGAACCTTAGACCCCAAAATTAAGCTTAAGTTTGCGAAGTCTGCAAAATGTTTTATTTCTGGGGAAATAATGCTCAAAGCAACAAAGTAAAGGGTGTTCTCTCAAGGGTAGAAGACTGTACCACTAACCTAGGAGCAGAGAATGCAATGAGAATCGTCCTCTTTGAGAAAACCAAATTTAATGCAAAGATTTTAACACATAAGGTAGGAATTCTCCTCACCAATGGAAACCAGGTTGCGATAGTTCTCCAACATCACATCCTGATATAGCATCTTCTGAGCAGGGTTCAGGAGCTGCCATTCCTCCCAGGTGAACTTTACAGCCACATCATTGAATGTTAGTGATTCCTGTAGTAAAAGGAGTCTGTTTAATACAGTATTTTCTATTTCAGGATTTTATAAAATATCTTACAGTAAAGAAAGCAAAACAGTAATAAAAACTATTCTATGATAGTGCAGTCAACAATATGTGGTAACCTAACGATTTGGTACAAAGTATTTGACTTTATTATTTTTACATTTCAACTGGAGCATGGAAAGCAAGCCCTATTTAGAGAAAGATCTCCACTGTTCTGAGATACAAATGTTTTGAAATACAGGTTCTCCAGGCCAAATAATATGTGTGTGTGTGTGTGTGTGTGTGTGTTTCATCCCCCCTACCCCCACACTCCCAACCCAAAAGCACTCCATTAAGGAGCAGCCTTAAAGAAGCTATCAAAGTAGATCAATCATTTCTCTGTCTGGCTACTTCACTATGCCTGAAGGGTATCTGTAGATTAGAGCAATCAGGTACTATAGCCAACCCACCATAACTGTAGTAAACCTCTAGGCAGAGCTCGGGGTGGGGATTGGGGTGGGGGTGGGGGGGTTGAGGTCAACTAACACTAGGTCCAGATGGTGACTTGCCTCCTTGCTTATTTAATATGTTACCTGCTTATGACATTATCCAATGACTATTCATATGTTAACTGTATGACACGCATGCCTTAGGAAAGATCTCTAAGCTACATTATATATATATCCATCAAAAAATATATCCATTCTCAGTCCTGACATGGGATGAGGAGCCCCTGTGCACTGCTGTCAGTCTCTCTTTAATATCTTCCACAATCAAAGTCACTCCTGAGGACCATTTCGAGTGTTGGGGACACCCATACCCCAACAATAATGCACCCACTACTAAAATTAGAAATTTGAGTAGCAGTGACATTATCTGAAAGAGCTAGAAATAGCTCAGATTTCCACACAGGACATAAAACCATACCAGTTTATATTAACAAACCAGTTTACAGTAGATTGCGAAATGGAATTAGGAGTCCTAGCATTATTACCATTATGCGAGGCTCTGTACCTTCAGTGGCAATAGGTATGAGGCTGATTTCAGAGGTGGGAGGTCAAACATACCTCAGCTCTCCAATACTTTTTATCAATTCTTACACAAGTCATTCCACCCACACCACTCTCTCTCTTCTGGATTTGATAATCTGTTGCTACGGTCACACAAAACTCATAGATGAAAGTGGTTTATTAATGCACAAGGTACAATTCAGGATCAGGACCAAGAAGTGACACATCAGGACCAAGATCAGAAAGCTCATAGGCAAAATCTTCTTTCCTGAGTGGAGAACAACTTTCTAAGCTCTTAGAGGTCACCTAAGCACAAGCATGTCTTGTCTACCTTAGGACAAATTCCTCTCAACCATCTTTGGACAGTATTGCCTTAACCGTAATTACAAGGTCCTCTTGGACCTGCCATATTTCATCACGTGCTCTCCAATGGGCCCCTGCTAGTTCTGTTGCCATTGGCTCGACCTCTGGAGCCCTCCTAATCTTGCCTAGGCATGGAAGGTGCAAGGTTGGCCCAAGAAGCCATCATAGCAAGAGCGAGAGCCAGAGTGAGAGCGAACTGCCTGAAGGCATGGCTGAGAAGAAACAGTAAGACACTGGCCTGTCATCTGACCTGCTGATTTGGTTTTGTTAGCCCCTGCAGCCGGGATATGCCAGCTTCCAGAAATGTATGAGCCATGTCCTTGATATCCCTGCAACTAGGAGCCACCCGTGTGACCTGATTTGAGAGTTTCCTCTACTCCATGAACCAACAGCCTGCTGTGTGACCTTTCAATGTGGGTCCCTCAGCCCCTGCAACCTATTCTCTGATCAGATACTACAACTTCACCTTATGAGGCAGTGGGCTGTTGTCTGACCTAATGATCTGGTTCACCAGCCTTTGCAAACACATTAATGAGGAGAACCCTACAGACTGAGACCTGATATGTATATAGATTTGGGACTCACCAGCTTCCACATTTTGAAGAGGGATTTATTTACTTGATGGCTATTTAGTTTTGTGAGATGTTGCAGAGCAAATCATGGAACATCCTGAACCTCTACCTCATAGGGACCCGTCTACTGCTGGTCCTGCAAAATGAACTGTAATATTCATGGGGCAAGAGCTGTCCAATGGAGACAATGACCAGGGCAGAAAAGACACACCAACAGAGCCAATGGTGACAGGTCCAGAAAGGGCTTTTCAGCCAAGAGAGTGGGACGGGCAGGCAAGACCAAGAGGAGGATATCTCCAAGGAGCTGAGAGGAGGCTATACAGATAGAACTAGAAATGAGCCTACCTTCAGGGGACAAAATATCTCAGAGGGACAGAGAGAACAAGCCTGCCCTGGAGAAGAGCAAATTTGCCTACATGGTTCTTTAATATGAATCCCAATGTGCAGCCTATTGATTCTGATACCAAATTACATTCTGTTACCGAATAAAACTCGTACCTGTGACCCTGGACTGTAATTTGTACACGGTCACTGCAAAAAATTAATGAGCTGAGAAGGAGAGGACTGTGGGAAAGAGACCCGGTGTCAGAACTGGAAAACTATTGGAGGGTATAGGTCTATTTAAGTTCTGCCTCATATGCATCAGGGCTGATGCTGGCAGTTGATTCTCTCTCCTACATCTATAGTTAGAGGAGGTGAGACGCTGTCAGTCATTTTTAAATTAGTATTGTTACAAGGCTCATTTCAGATGCATTAATGAGAATGCTGCTCTTTGGGAGATTATGTAACACCTCACCTTCAGAAAGCATTACAGAAACTTACTCAGACAAAAATCCCATGGAATACTGAACCCTTCTAAAGAAGTGATCTCATTTCTCCTTAAAAACTAGGCATTAGCATTGAGTCTGATGGGGTGCCAAGTCTATTTTTGGTACTCTTCGGGACTTCTTCGCTCTACTCTCCTTGCTGTTCTGTTGCATGCCCAAAGCGTTTTGCCTTGGTGTGGTGGGGTCAGATCAGGCGCAATTCCCAGTGTCTCCAGTGATGTCCCCTGTAGGGCTATGGGTCTGTGAGGGATGTTGTGTCTCATAGTGGGGCCAGTCTTGTGGTCCTCTCTGTGCACTGGCTGCTCTGAGCAGGGATATCATCTGTAAGGTGTGGTGGGCCAGGATGAGCTCCAGTCTCTCTTCCTCCCCCTTCATTTGCTCCCAAGTGCTCATATCAGACATATCCCTCTCCCTGAGCTGTAGCTTCAGTGCTGTCCTATGAAGAAAATTCTCCTGGGGGGAGGGGAAAACACTCCTAAAGGTCAACAAACAGACCTTGAACTGTTTACAAGCTTTCTTTTTTGCCATTGTTGTTTTGCTGCGTATTGTTTTTGTGCATATAATTATCTCTGCGGGTCTATCTAGATAAGAGAGGCTGGATAAACAATCTGGAGGAGAAAACAATAGGACTGACAGTTCCAGGGGGACGTGGGAGAAGGGGAGGTGGGGGAAAGGAAGTGGTGTTAACAAACCAGGGACAAGGGAACAACAAGTGATCCAAAATCAGTGGAGAGCAGGGTGTAAGAGGACTGGTAAGGCTTGTCAAGGGCAATAAAGGCTGATCATGATAGTGGGATAAGAGGAAAGCAAAAGGAAATAGAGGAAAGAACTGGTAAGCAAAAGTAATTTTTAGCGTTCTAAATACAGGCATGTACATATGTAAATATATTTATATATGATGATTGGGAAATAGATCTATGTGCATATATTTATAGGTTTAGTATTAAGGTGGCAGATGGACATTAGGCCTCCATTCAAGTACCCCATTAATGCAAGACCACTTTGTTCTATTAAACTGGCATTGCATGATGCTCACCTTTCCAACATGATCACTGAAGACAAAGCAGGTGCATAAGCAAATGTGGTGAAGAAAGCTGATGATGCCCGGCTATCAAAAGATATAGCGTCTGGGATCTTAAAGGCTTGAAGGTAAACAAGCAGGAATCTAGCTCAGAAGCAATAAAGCCCACATGGAAGAAGCAAAGCAGCCTGTGTGATCATGAGGTGTTGATGCATCAGGTATCAGGCATCAAAGAACAAAAAATCAGATCATTGTGAATGAGGGGGAGGTGTGGAGTGGAGATCCAAAGCCCATCTGTAGGCACCTGGACATCCCTTACAGAAGGGTCATGGGGAGGAGATGAGCCAGTCAGAGTACATTGTAGCAACAATGAAACATACCACTCTCCTCTAGTTCTTCAATGTTTCCTCCCCGCCACTATCATGATCCCAATTCTACCTTACAAATCTGCCTAGACTAGAGGATGTACACTGGTACAGATGGAAACTGGAAACACAGGGAATCCAGGACAGATGAACCCTTCAGGACCAATGGTGAGAGTGGCGATACCAAGAGGGTGGAGACAAGGAGGGAGAAAGGAGGAACCAATTATAAGGCTCTATATATAACCCCCTCCCTTGGGACAGACAACAGAAAAGTGGGTGAAGGCAGATGTTGGACAGTGTAAAACATGACAAAATAACAATAATTTATAAATTATCAAGGGTTCATGGGGGGGGGCGGTGAGGAGTTGATACTAAGGGCTCAAGTAGAAAACAAATGTTTTGAGAATGATGATAGCAACAAATGTGCTTTTAAGACTGTATGGACTGAGATAAGAGTTGTACAAGAACCCAATAAAATGATTAAAAAAAAAATGAATTGATTTGAAAGATGTCATCCAAAAAACCCTTAGTGACGTATTATATTCAATGTGATTCGTTTAGTTTTAATCCTATGATCAATATATTCCCAATGTTCTCAAGTCCAATGTTGACGTCAGAGTCAAAGTTTATCTCTAACTTCTACTGTTTCACATTTCTACGTTTCCAATGAACTGAATCAGTGTTATGCAGGCTACTACACTTCCAGGAGGAAATACAGAAAAGGATAAAATACATCGGAATCACCTGAGCCTTGGTCATTTTCTTTGGTCCTTAGGACACTGCCGGCAACTGGGATGCTCTATGTTTGTCTATCTGGATCAGCTCCAATGATGCTCACACATTTCAGTCTCTCATGAGGACATCCCAGAAATAATAATACCCAATCCAGGAACTTCTTGCTCCTTCCTCTAAGCTGAAGGTGATTCAAAATCTGCAGGCTGATGAGAGAATACAATGTGAGTAACACATAACCTGTAGGTCCAGATGCTGTTACACTTCTGTTCCTCTTCTTACACAAAGTTCCCAATATTGTTAATGCTCCCTTATTGAGTGACAGAAAACGTGTACACCACGAGCAATAAAATCTAAAACTCATAATTTTCAGACATGTGAGTAAAATATGACTTTATAATAAATAGAGATAGCGCAATCAAATATACACGTCAAAAAGAAGAAACAATAAACCTGGATCCCTACCTCACAACATACAGAACTATCAATTCTTTGCTGTGTGATTCTGAAGGAGAATGACAAATCAGTGAACCTTGAAGATGATTATGTTAATTAAAGCATCTGGAAACATTTTAAATGGGTTGTATCAAGAGCTATTATAAACTGATGATTATTTTCTGGAGGAACTATAAATTGTACAATCACTTTAGAAACACTTTAAAACTCACTATCAAGTAGAGTTAGTTAGACGTATAAACAGGCAACAGGACACAGGAGAACTGCTCTACAGAGTTTCTGAGACTATAAAGCCATGACAGACAGCTAGTGGGTTTGTACCTCTGACCGTGAGGTTAGCAGTCCAACTGTTAACATATATCAACACCAGAGCTCAATAATAAACACATATTGGTGGTAAGGAGGGTGTAAGAGGCCTGGCAGGGCTTGATCAAGGGCAATGTAACAAAGAGGAAGTACTGAAATGCAAATGAAGGCTGAGCACGATAGTGGGACAAGAGGAAAGTAAAAGGAAATAGAGGAAAGAACTGGGAGGCAAAGGGCATTTATAGAGGTCTAAATACAGGCATGTACATATGTAAATATATTTATGTATGATAATTAGGAAATA